AATAAATATTATTGACAAGTACAATGGGATTGTCAGATAATTTTTCATTAGGATCAATAAGAACAACGAGCTTGCACAAAAGATGTTTGTTCCCAGCCAATAGATCAATCACATATTTGCGCTAAGACAGACAGATTCCTCGAGATAGCCGAGTCACTTTCATGTCTAAGAAGTACCAGAGAGATCTTAAATTCTTCATCTTAAAGGATGAAACAAGGATGTCTTTTAAGGACTCTAATGCAGGAAAATCGTTACTTGTAAGAATAGTATCGTCAACATAGACAATAATAAATAAGCATAGCTACCTGGCCATTGGAGGAATGTCGGAAGAAGAAGGTGTGATCTGATTGAGCTTGAGCTTGAGTAAAACAATGGCCCACGACCTACTTTGTGAATTTGCCGAACCAGGTTCTTAGGGATCGTTTTAGCCTATAGAGGCATTTTCATAGCCTGCACACTTGTCCTCTGGAGGCAGTAGACTCAAAACCCGAAGGGAGAGACATATACAACTCTTATATCAGCACTCCAATAAAGAATGCGTTCTTGACATCAAGTTTGAATAAAGACTAATCCACATTCACCGCAAGTGACACATGACCCGAATAGTGTTCAACTCAGCTACTGGAGCAAATATCTTCTCATAGTCAACTTCATAAGTTTGATAGTATCCTTTGACAACCAATCTTGCCTTGTTGCATTCAGAGGACCCATTAAAGTTAAACTTGGTGCTGAAAATCCATCGTCACCCTACAACTTTCTTACCCCGAGGAAGATCCACGACGTCCCTCGAATGATTACGCTGAAGAACATTCATCTCCTCCATTACTATCATTTACCAGGCTGGGTAAGCAAGAGTAACTTCAATAGTGGCAGTATTTGATGGTCCGTCAGAGCAGTATCGAATGCTCTGTAGGTCGGTAATAAATTGTGAAAATACATAATTTGCCATAGAATAGAAGGAGCAAGTCTGACTGCGTACCTTATCAGGATAACTCACTTTCTCATTTGGAGGAGGGGTCGTGCTAAAGATTTCGTCTGGAGTGGAGTCATGGTCCTATAATGAGGTAGTGGAATCCAGAGTAAGAGAGTTGGGACAAGTGCGTCGAGTAGACATGGACAATGGGAGGAGGAGATGGTACATTCAACGGGACAGGTGACTCCTCAAAGGTAGGAACAATGAGAGGACTATTTATAGGAGTATAATAAGAGACTGTGTCAGGGAACTCAAGCTATCCCTCAATAGAGGCCGATCTAGAAAAATATGGAACACATTCAAAGAAGGAGACATCAACACTAACATATATTTTGTTTGCGGTTAAGACATCGATACCCGTTTTAATTTGCAGAGTATCCAAGGAAGATACATTTTATGGATTCAGTATCAAGTTTACTCCAAATATGGGCAGAGGTCCAAACAAAGGCAGTGCACCAAAAAACTTGGGATATAATATGAAGAAGACCCGATTGCAGGGAAGCATGACATCAGGACAGCTAATTGGGGTTGGAACTAGTGAATTTTGGAAGGGACGCTGTTTATGAAATAGGTGATAGTTAGAATAACATCGTTCAAAAAACGTTTTGGGACATTAGAATGAAACATAATGGAGCAAGCAATGGTAAGGAGGTGACATTTTTCTCTCAGCAACCCATGTTGTTGAGGAGTGTCCGTACAAGAACTATGGTGGAGGATATCATTACTGACAAAAGTCACTCAAAACAGAATTGAAAAACTTACGACCATTGTCAGACCTGAATAGGAGTTTTGAATTGTTAAGACAAGGGTGTACAAGTTTTGAAAGGTTACAACTACTTTTGATTTGTCTTTTAAAATATAAACCCACCTCATTCGAGTATAGTCATCAATTAAGGTTAAAAACCATCATTCATTAGTTTAGCTGAGAGTGCGAGAATGACCCAATATGTCACTGTTAATGAGGGAGAAATGAGCGAAATGTGTGTAAGTGTAAAGTGGGTAATGAACTCGATGATATTTGACTGACTGACATGTCTCACAATTGAAATTTGAGTGATTTTTATTAGAAAACATTAAATGATAAACATTTTTTAAATATTGAAAACTAGGATATCCTAAATGACAATGTAACAATATAACACATTCAACGACTCGAGATAAGCTACAACTTTTGAGTATTGTGACTTCACACTCGGTGTTCTCTTTTTGGAAATAGTAGAGTCTGACTACATTTTTAACAATTCAAATCATCCATAAACGACGATCCAGAAAAACAAAACCATTAAAGGAGAAATTAACAATGCAATCAATATCATTTATCAACTTGCTGATAGATAACAAGTTACGTTGCAATTGAGTTACGTGTAAAACAAACTCCAGAGTTAAATCAATCGTTAGTACAACCGACCCTTTACCAACAATGAGACTACATGATCCATCAGCAATGCTGGCGGTATTTTTCCAAAGCACAAATCGTAAGTTAAGAAAGCTTGCGAGCATCTAGTAATGTGATCTGTGGCACCCGAATCAATAATCCACGGGCTAAAAGAACAATATACTTTGAGAACCATAGGAAGAGTGACTTGTCAGAAGTGAGAGGTCAGACCCGCGAGTTGATTGGCTCCAAGAAGCTTGATTAATTACTTCATCTGGTTTTTTAGGAATTCGAAGGATTCTGGGATGTTCCAAGTAGGAGTCAGTCCTCCAACTATGTCAAGAACACCTTCTAAGGGTGATTCATTGAAAGAATCAGCCATAAGTTCGGCTAACCAAAAGAATCTCTTGTGAGGCATCGATGAATTTTGGTAGAATCATAAGACACGGAATTGCAGAAATTGCAGGAACCCTTCCTGCAAGAATTGCAGGAATTGCAGGTAGCAGGTAACAAAAGAAACAGTGGAAAACTATAGAAAATGTTAGGAGGAATCAGAGTAGGAACAGTGATAGAGGATAAGAACTGCAGTAGGAACAACAACAATAGGAAATGGCAGAAGATGTTCATAGTTGAAGTAGGAACAGCAGTTAAAGGTAATAACTGCAGGAACATAGACAATAGGAACCCTTCCTGAAAATGACAGAAGTTCTTCAAAACAACGAAAAAGAAATTGCAGTAAGGCAGCAAGATTGGTGGCAAAAAGGAAACTGACAAAAAAGAACAACGACAACATCACAGCGACAGACAGGAACAGTGCGCTTGACAACAATGAAAAAGAGGAGGTCGGTTGTTATGCTTGAACCTGAAGGGAGGCCAACTGCTAGAACCAACAGAGGAGGTCGGGGGCTGTTGGATCTATGGTTAGCCTATGATACCATGTTGAAATTTGGAATAAACCAGCAATTTTTTATTGATAGGAGGGATATTTAAATTCAATTACAATAAACAAAATAATAGAAAGCAATAAAAATAGAATAAAATAAAAAGAAAAGAAAATAAAACAGAATAAAGCAAAAGAGGAAAAATATAATCAAAGTATAAAATCAAATAACAAGTAATAATGGTATAATCTAAAACTTTTTATTTTTTCATATATATTTGACCTTTTTTCACATAATTAGCTATTCTAGTCAATATCACCAAGTTCATCTACAATTTCCATGCAATGTATTGAAAGTTTATTAGTCTGTTAACAATTTGTTCGTACTTCATTATGTCACTCATGTAAGAATTGCTTCTAAATAAAGGAAATGAAATGATTTTGTTTTCACTCATTTTGAATGTGAAAATTAAACCATTACCATTGAGGAAAATTTGAGAAGGTTTGTAGAGTTTGAAATCGATATGAGTGACTAACTACATGAAACAAAAAAAAAATGGACTTGACAAACTTCATTGTTTTTCCAAAACATGATGTCCAACTTCAAGTAATCAAATAAACCCTCGGAAAATTTTTTATTGTGTATATAAGAGCTTCCCTCACCTATTTCAAGATTTTGAAACAAATAAGGCCGAGCCTTGAATATTTCCAAAGAATTTATTTTCTAATATAGGCTTGACACTTCCTAATCTCTTAGATTTTAAATCTTTTTATTAGTTTGATCTTATCCATTATCCTATTAAGGTTTTTTGGATCATTCGACATCACAAATCTTAATATCATATCATGTCTTATTATTGCATATTCTGCCCTCCTTTACACGTGCCAAAACCACTGAAGTGGCTTCAAATCTTCTCTTCAACACAAGCTACTCCTGAATGCCACTAATAATCTTTAAATCTTAATTATCTCATGCATCCATCTTAAAATTCTTACTTGTCCCACTCAACTTAACAACCTGTGACTTTATTACCCAACATTCAAATCCAAATAACACAGTTGATTTAACTGAAATGTTATGACAATTACCTTTACTTAACATGGCTTCCTCTCATCGTATAATACCTATGGAACAATTAGAAAGTTCTAATCACACAACTTCAAGTTTAGAATTTATATCAAGTTTTACACATTAATTTTTCTATATAATAGATGCATGATAATTAAACCAATCATGATATGTTGCTTAAACTTCTTACACTTAATTAAAAATTATCAACCTCACATCCTCTGAATTTCTATCTTACATGCTCTATATTCCTTCCATTAACCTACGTCCATTATCCTATAATAATTTTCATCTATTACTCGAAAAATAATAATAATAATAATAATGTAAATCTCCAGGAACTCTACAACTTAAAATGAATATTTTTAAGTGTAAATTAGATAAAAGAAAAAAGTTGGCAGGATGAGTTTTCTAGATACAATTTAATATCTATTATAGAATGAATTTAGAAAGAATAGCCATGCACACAAATAGTGAAAGCACTAGTAAGCCAATTGCATCTTGCGTTAGTGTAGGAAATGGCCATAACTTAAAAGTATATCAGTAACGTTTAGTCTAAAAATCTTCCGCTAACCTTGAATATATATGGCAATTGTAATTTAAAAATAAGAAGAAATAGTGTATCGGAGTATGATTTATTATGATAAAATATTAAGAATAGAAGAACAGCGCTAATAATATTTAGCTTGCATTGCAGATTCACCTTGATGAGAAAATAATCATCACACCACTTTTTGAATCTCGGATAGAAACTTGGATCGAACTTGTCACATGCTTGTTTCTGAACCTGCATTAAGAAAAATGATCAATGCAGCATTTCCAGAAATTTTCCATTTTACTTGGGATTCGTCTTGTAAAAGCTCAAGTAAATCCAGTAAATCTTGATTTTCTAAATCATGCCAACACCAGAATTTAGTAAATCCAGGATTGGAGACAAAACTGTGAGGAATTAAGAAAGAACTGGAATTACTAAACCCACAATTTAAAACGTGGCTTTTTTTTTTATCTGACAAATTTAAGTTAAATCTCATTTAAACCTGTTTCCAGACAGCCCCAAAATCTCCACATTTAAACTTATTGTCTAATGTATCTCTATATCACCATAAGAATTCACTAAGAATGAAAAAAATTTACTAGCATAGCTGCGGCTCAAATGGAGAACAATTCAAGCTGACTCAGCACTGCAAACAAAAATACCATGTGTACAATTATCTACAACCGACGTTTATGCAAATTATTGCAAAGATAATAAATCTCAGGTGAACACTGGGAAGATATAAAACACCCAACCCTACAATAATATCAATTTTTCTTAGATTACTCCAGGAAAATAAAAAACTACTAATTCACTCTCAACTATACCTGATGGAAATGCTTAACATCCTCCTCAAATATATATGCAGGAGTCAAATCAGTGCCACCACCAAACCACCACTGCCTAGGTGCTCCAGGAGAATCTGCTTCCCAATCACGTTAAAATATAATATCAAGCAAGCAATATTTCTATACAATATAGTCATAGAAGGAAAAAAAACATTAATGTTAACTGGGACAAGTGAATTTCACAAATTAACTAGGAACATTATTTTAACCATGTCTCAGACAACGAATTCCACTGTAAGCATAAATTCCTCTGAATAATCCAATTAATGTAGCACCATTAATATTGGTTGACAATTCAGCTCAGAAAAGCAAAGATTCTCATAGGCCAACCATAAACAGTCAAACCGGCTAAAAAAGTTGAATCCGACTGATTTTCTTATGTTTTTTCTGGGCTTCACCTTATTTTAGGCCACATTTTTTGTCCTTTTCATTTTATTATGAAATAAATTATAATACGAAATTAAGAATAAGTATATGACCTCTTCCTTCTTAAGGTTTTTACTCCATAAACGTAAGGCCTATTGTATGAACTTTAATAGATTGTTACGGCTAAATGAATTATTGATGGTTCACGAGCATTATTGATGGCTGACAACAATTCCCCAATTGATCCAAACTGCATGCAAAAAGTTATTCTTCCTCAACCCTCCTTTCCAAACAAGGTACTTCATAATTATACTGATTGTGCGTTGACTCTCTCTCATCAAGATTTCTCAAGCATAAATCCTCTCCCTTAAACAACACAAAATTACTAAATTCTAAACTCCTCCTAATCCAATTCACCAATAAAAAAAAAATCCAATAAATCCTAGTATAAGAATGAGTATGGGAACTTCTCACATCTTCCCAAGAACTTTCGAGGCTAAATCTCTACTTCCTAGTTTTCCTTTAGTCGAACACCCCACCAATCCCCAACTTTCCAACTCTGATCAAACCACTCAAATCAATAATTTAAAAAAAAAACCACAAAAGGCAAAAATGGTAACAAACAAAAAGGAAATTCATAAAATATTAAATGGGCTCACTTTCAAGCTATTTTATAGCCCTCATTATTTTAGGCTGAATATTACATTATTTTTTTTATTTAAATAGTTTTCCTTTATATATAAGATCTCTTGCATGGATCATAACAATCTGCTACTGATGAATGAATACTGGAGATATATGAGTTCTATTGATGAATAATTAATTCCACACCAGTTTAAAAAATGTGTACAAGGATTGGTCTAAGTCGTTTATGCGGAGCTTTTCCATCCCTTCCTTGCCAAACAAGTAGTTTATGATTATGTTAATTCTATGACCGTTCTTTCAATGTTCAAAATTCCTCAAGCGCATGTCCTCTCTCATAAACTATACAACTAAGCTTTAAACCCTAGCCTTCTCCTTAAAAATTAGCAAAAGAAAACAATCCAATAAATCCATCCATCACCAGTAAGGAATATTATACGATATATGAAGCCATTTTTATATTCAAATAAGCAAATACTATTCATTGCATCATATTCTACTGAAAACACTACCCACATATCAATCTAACTTCCATAAAATAGCAGCTGGAACGTGTTTCAGATCAGTTTGCATTCTTCAAATGTGTAGAAGTGTTAGTAGTGATTTTTAAACATAAACAAATAAATAATAATAATTTATATTATAAGTTAGGATTTTAAAATTTATTATTTTTTTGTGTGCTATTGCAGACTTCCTATGTACATGTGTACAAAATGTCCGGACTTATTAATCTAGCTTAAAGTCAGGAAACAGCTCACATTTGACTTTTTCAGCAAAAAAAAATGACTCAACTCATTTTGTTTGTAAATAAATGAACGTTATAAGAGATCGGAACATACATAGGGCCAAGTAGGTCGCGTTACTTGATTTGAACCCATGTATATATTCATGCACGTCAAATATTACAGAAAACTAAAGATTGCATGTGTGTGTATTGTTGACCTCATTTTTGTGAGGTCTTGTCTTCTCCTCCTTAGAGCCTAGATTCTAGCTCTAGAAATTCCTAATCGACTATCTTAGAAAACTAGAATTGGGACTCACCTTTCTAGAAATTCCAGTCAATTCCTATTTTCCTTTGATGTCTAGCATCTTTGGCACAAGACCATCGTCTTATGAACGAGCGGTTATGGGCTATTTTGCGTAGATTCAAGGAAAATGTTCCAAATAGGACTTCAAGCCTTAGGAAAACAT